CTCCTCGTCCTCCAAAACATGCATTGAGCCCCGCTTCATCGAGACTCCAATCTTGATTGTTCAACCGGAAGGTAATCATCTCCAACTGGTTGGTCATCGCCCTTTTTCTTCTTCTCCACGGTGCTCAAGAACTCGAGCACCATCCTCCTATAATTCCCCGGTCGAGTACCGAAGACTCCAGCCAACCCGAGCCTGTTCCAAAGAGGCCTCACCGTCTCATGTATGCCAATAACGCGCTCGGTGGCCTCATCGGGATACCGGGTTGGCTTAATAGCCATCTTCGCGAGCCGTGTCCACCTTTCCTTCTGCCAGTCGTGCGGCAGTATAACTCCCAACTCGCTCCCCGGAGTCACTTCGACCTCGACATTCTCAATAACTCGCGCTCGTGGATTATTCGGTGGAGGGTTCGGTGGACGGTTCGCACGAGGTGGGACACCGGCACCCCCGCTATTCCTTGTTTGCCTACGATTGTTCATTTTGTACCTACATTTGCAAATTAAATATATCAACCTCAATATCACACATCCACAAGAAATCCATCAAAGTCAAAACTCACATAACAATCTCCAATATCAACACACAACTCAATTTTTTCAAATTCCAAACAAGTACCAAAAGGGAGCAAACATCAACAATTATCCAATCAAATCAACAAAATTCACAACTTTTCATCAACTCTCTTACACATCACAAACCCACAAAATCTCCACTATTTCATAACCACAACATCAATCACCAGTTCTTCACAGAAATCATAAACCACAAGCATGAACCAAAAGGAGAGTAAAATATCAACTCAACACTAATCCATAATCAATAAAACCACACATTCCATCCAAATTCACCGCATATTCATCAACAATTCTCATTGACATCACCAAAGTAAAGGACATCTGCAAATAATTCATTGGAACGAGCTCATTCACCTCTCTTTACCTTCTTTCAACAACACAAATTCACACAAAATTCACTAAGGCCAAGAACATTACAAGTAAGCTCAAAAATTACTTCATGATATGCAATACATCACTCTTATTCTCAAACATAACAATTAAATCAACAAAGCATATGAAAAGAAGAGCAATTTTATCAATTTACCCGCGCACATGAGGTGTTCGATAGAAATCCTCAACTACTTCTTAACCGTAGCATCAAGATAATACCAAAAACACACCACACATACCTCAAATCAACGTCCCAATCGCGAAACTACAAGGAAAAGGAAGAGAATTCTTTCCTTTTTCGATGGATTTGAGCAAAAACCCGCAACAAGTAAACCCTAGGTCTAAGAACACCAAAATTCCTTCACTTTCTCAAGAAATTTTTGTAAGTAAGAGATTAGGAAGTGTGTGTGTGTGTGAATTTCGTGAAGAAATCGAGCACAAGAAGCCAAGAGAAATCGAAAAATCGAGAGACACGAGAGAGATGCGAGAGAGAGAGAGAGGCGGATCGTGTGGAAGAGAAGTGAAGAAGAAAAAGCTCCTTTTTTTTAAACTGCCCAGGCGTCACACGAGCCGTGTCCAAAGGACACACGAGCCCTGTGACGCTATTAAAAATATTTAAAAAGTCGCCTAGGGTCACACGACCCGTGTCCACAGATCACACGACCCGTGTGATTACACACGACCCGTGTCACATGTTCACACGGGTCGTGTGAAAAAGCCGTAGCCACACTTCAAAAATTCATATTTTTTCCCCAGGTCACACGAGTCGTGTCAGGTCACACGAGTCGTGTCACTGGGACACACGACTCGTGTAGTCCTGGAACATTTTTTTTTTTTTTGAATGAAAAACGAAACTAAGCCTATTCTAAAAAATAAAACTATACACTAAATCATTGGGTTGCCTCCCAATAAGCGCTTAATTTAACGTCTTTAGCTAGACGAATACCTGGCAGACCATTAGTCGTTCAAATAGATGATAAAGATCGTCTTGGCTTGCTCTGGGCTGAAGTATGGCTTAATCCGCTGAGCATTCACCACGAATGTGGTGCCGTCACTTACCGCCAATTCCACGGCTCCATTTTCCATCATCTTCGTAATTACGAACGGTCCAGACCACCTCGACTTGAACTTACCGGAAAAGAGCCTGAGTCGCGAATTGAAGAGTAGAACCTGTTCACCTATAGCAAAATCTCGCTTCCTAATCAATTTGTCATGGTATCTCTTCGTCTTCTCCTTATAGATACGAGAACTCTCATACGCCTCCGTGCGAAACTCGTCCAATTCGTTGAGCTGCAACTTCCTTTCGAGCCCGGCTTTTTGTAAGTCAAGATTAATCTTCCTCATAGCCCAATAAGCCCTGTGCTCCAATTCAACAGGCAAGTGACATGATTTACAAAATACCAATTGATATGGAGACATACCTAGAGGAGTCTTGTACGCCGTCCAATAAGCCCAAAGTGCTTCGTTGAGGTGATTCACCCAGTCCTTACGACTTCCAATGACCTTCTCGAGCACTTGCTTGATCTCCCGATTAGCCAACTCGGCTTGCCCATTAGCTTGTGGATGATATGCCGTCGTCACTTTATGCTTCACTCCATACTTGGCAAGGAGACTTCCAAGCCACTTATTACAAAAGTGCGACCCACCATCACTAATCAATGCTCTCGGAGTCCCAAAGCGTGTAAGGATATTCGCTCTCAAAAATTTCAGCACCTCCTTAGCATCATTGGTCTTAGTCGGCACCGCCTCAACCCATCTCGAAACATAGTCCACTGCCAAAAGAATATACTTGGACCCATAAGACACCAGAAAGGGTCCTATAAAATCGATCCCCCATACGTCAAAGAGCTCCACCTCAATGATGTTGGTGAGGGGCATCTCATCTCGCCTAGAAATTCCTCCTATCCGCTGGCACCTATCACAAGATAACACGAACCGGTGACAATCTTTATAAATGGACGGCCAATAGAAGCCGCTTTGCAACACCTTGATGGCGGTTCGGTTTCCCGCGAAGTGTCCTCCACCCGGTGATGAATGACATTGCCTCGTGATTTCTCCCCATTCTTCTTCGGGGACACACCTTCTAATAACCATGTCCGCGCACCTCCGGAATAAATACGGCTTGTCCCAATAGTAGAACTTCACATCATGAAAGAATTTCTTCCTCGCATAATAGGACAAATCCGGAGGTGGTACGCCCGACACCAAGTAATTCACATAATCGGCGTACCAAGGTAGGTGGGCCCGAACGTGCATCATGTGCTCATCCGGAAAATCTTCATTAATAGGGACCAATCGATCATCCCCTTCAACCGAGCCCTCCAACCGAGATAAATGGTCCGCCACAACATTCTCGCATCCCTTCCGGTCCCGGATTTCCAGATCAAACTCTTGAAGTAAGAGCACCCATCGAATCAATCATGGCTTGGCATCCTTCTTCGCCATGAGGTGTCGAATTGCCGCATGATCGGTAAACACGATTGTCTTCGTCCCAACAAGGTAGGGTCGAAACTTGTCAAACGCATACACCACCGCTAGGATCTCTTTCTCCGTAGTCGTGTAATTTACTTGACCCGGATCCAACGTCTTGCTCGCATAATAAATCACTCGAAAGAGTTTATCTCGCTTTTGGCCCAAAGCGACCCCCACGGCTACATCACTCGCATCGCACATCATCTCGAACGGTTGCTCCCAATCCTCCACGATCAAAATAGGAGCACTAATAAGAGCCTTCTTCAATGTCTCAAAAGCCTGCAAACACTTCTCACTAAAATCAAATGTAGCATCTTTTTCTAACAACACACTAAGAGGTTTAGAAATTTTAGCAAATTCACGAATGAACCTCCTATAAAATCCCGCATGGCCCAAGAAACTCCTTACCGACTTCACGTTCGTAGGAGGTGGAAGTTTTTCAATGGCTACAATTTTTGCCCCATCTACCTCAAGTCCCGCGGAAGACACACGATGCCCAAGAACTATACCTTCCTTCACCATATAGTGACATTTCTCCCAATTTAAAACAAGGTTAGTTTCTTCACATCGCTGCAACACGCGAGATAAATTAGCCAAGCAATTGTCAAATGAAGTACCAAACACCGAAAAATCATCCATAAACACCTCCATAATATTCTCAATTAAATCATGAAAAATTGTCATCATACATCTTTGAAAGGTAGCAGGAGCATTACATAAACCAAAAGGCATCCTACGATAAGCAAATACACCATAAGGACATGTAAAAGCCGTCTTCTCTTGGTCTTCCGGATCTATCAAAATTTGATTGTATCCGGAATAACCATCAAGAAAACAATAGAAATCACAACCCGCTAACCTATCAACCATTTTATCCACAAAAGGCAAAGGAAAGTGATCCTTACGAGTAGCGGCATTTAATTTACGATAATCAATACAAACACGCCAACCTGTCAAAAGCCTAGTAGCAACAACACCATCATGCTCATCTTTCACAATAGTCACCCCCCCTTTCTTAGCCACAACTTGTGTAGGACTAACCCATTCACTATCAGAAATAGCAAAAATCATCCCCGCATCTAACAATTTAAGGACCTCTTTTCTTACTACTTCTTGCATAATTGGATTTAGCCTACGTTGATTTTGAACACATGGCTTATAATTATCCTCAAGCAAAATTCTATGCATGCAAATAGAGGGACTAATACCTTTTAAATCACTAATCGACCAACCAATCGCCGATTTATGCCCTCTTAAGACTCTCAATAATCTCTCAGGCTCCGAATTAGAAAGGTAAGAAGAAACGATTACCGGAAACGTATCATTCTCTCCAAGATATGCATACTTCAAGTGCTCCGGTAAAGGTTTCAACTCTAACTTCGGGACTCCATCTTTCTTTTCTCCTTGACTTGCACTTGGTCCCGACTCATCACGTCTCAACTCTAAAAATGCGGCCTGCCTCTTCGGGATTTCCCTACAAGAATCCAACACATTAACACATTTAAATAATTTTTCTTGAAAGGATCAAACGTAGAAGATGAAAATAATGCTTTTTGAACACATAGATCAAAAGGCTCTTTAGACGAAGAAGTAATTATGTCATTGTCGAAGGAAGCCTCAACAACTTCAATCACTTTACATTCTTTGATCTCACCATCCTCATTATTATTCTTCATCGCTTGATATATGGAAAATGTGATGCTCTCTTCATCAACCCGGAGAGTAAGCTCGCCATTCTTCACATCAATCAACGCTCCCCCGGTTGCAAGAAATGGACGACCCAAAATTAGTGGAACCTCCTTATCCTCCTCCATGTCAAGGACCACAAAATCAGCCGGGAAGATAAACCCCTTGACTTTCACCAATACGTCTTCCACAATCCCCTTCGGATAAGACAAGGATCTATCCGCCATTTGCAATGCAATCGTAGTGGGCCTAATCGTCCCAATCTCCAACCTCTTGAAAATTGATAGTGGCATGAGATTGATGCTTTCTCCCAAGTCACACAACAGCTTCCCGAACCGCTTTCCTCCTATAATGCATGCTATTGTGAAGCTCCCGGGATCCTTGCGTTTGAAAGGCATCTTCTTTTGGATCATAGCACTACACTCCTCCGTCAAATTCACCTTCTCATACGCTTTGAGTTTCTTCTTCCTAGATACCATGTCCTTCAAGAACTTGGCATATTTGGGCATCTCCTGCAACGCATCAACAAGCAGAATATTTATTTGAACTTTAGTAAATATTTCACTAAATTTGGCATATTGTTCGTCAATTTTTTTCTTTGCAAAACGTTGAGGAAAAGGTAAAGGAATATTAGGAGTAGAAGTGTTAGAAGTAGATTTTGGCTTCTCAGCCCCTGTAATTGCCGATTTTGGGGGCTCCACTACTAATTCCTAAACTTCTTCCTCTTCCTTGCTTTCCTCAGGCTCGACTTTTCCCGGCTCATTAGTTGGCATCCTTGGTCCCTCGTACTCCAAGCCACTCCTTAGACGGATAGCTTTGCATTGTTCCTTTGGATTCACCTCTGTGTTGCTCGGAAATTTTCCTCTCTGCTGTAGACTTCCTACTACTGTGGCCAACTGTCCAATTTGTTGTTCCATTGACTTCATTTGCTTCTCCAAGGTAGAGTGCTTAGCCTGAGATTCGCCCATGAATTGTTGCGTTTGAGTCATGAACGAGGCGAACATATCTTCGATTGTCGGCTTCTTTGGCTCATTGATGACCCCGTTGGTCACCGAAAATCCGAGAGGTGGTTGTAGAGCATTATTCGGATTTGCATATGATAAACTGGGGTGATTCCGGTTGCCTTGATAATAAGTGTTCCCCGCTTGAGGTCCTCGAAAATTTCCAAAATTCTGATTATTCACATAATTCACGTCCTCGACCGGTTCCCCAACTCCTAATCTCTCAGCCTTTCCCTCTTGCTTGTTGTTTATCACCAATGCTGCTATTTAAGCCGCCATCGAAGCGGCTGAGTCCGCCTCATTCGTAGCCGCCACTCTCTTGAGCATAGTCCTCTCAACCGGCCACTGATAGCTATTCGATCCCATCTACTCAAGAATTTGCTTCGCGTCGTTCGGTCTCCTTCTGAAAAGGGCACCTCCAGCTGAGACGTCCATCATAGCCTTCATCGGGCCACTCAATCCATTATAGAAATAGCAAATTTGGTGCTCCTCCGAAAATCCATGTTGTGGGCACGTCCGAAGGAGTTGCGTGTAACGCTCCCAGCCTCGTATAAAGGCTCACCATCTTGTTGCTTGAATTGAGTGATCTCCGTCTGAAGTCTCAACATCTTACTCGGTGGGAAGAACTTTAAGAGAAATTTCTGACGCATCTCATCCCATGTTCTCACTGTCCCGGCCTCAAGAGAATTGTACCACACCTTGGCTTTATCTTTAAGAGAGAAAGAGAAAAGCCTAAGCCGGATAGCGACCTCCGGGACTCCATTGTACTTCACTGTACCACATATCTCCAGAAATTGCGCCAGATGCGCATTCGGGTCCTCGATTGCAGCTCCCCCAAACTTCTCTTGCTGCACCATTCGAATCAAGGGCGGGCTCAACTCAAAAGTATTAGCCGCAATTCTCGGCCCGTGACCTCCTCCGTATACTTGGTAAGCATGAGGTTGGAAGATGTTCCGAACCGGTGTTCCTGTCTCTTGTTGAGCCTGATGCGCAGCTAATTGGCGTTGTAGCTCCGCCATTTGTGCCTCGAGCTATCTATACCTCTCTTCACCTTGTTCCTCCATTGCACCTCTCAGTCGTTGTTGTGGTCTCCGATTTGCGTTGTTCATTCGACAACTAGCTTCAATCTCGGGGTCAAATTTCAGGGGTGAATTCCCACTAGACCTCGTAATCATGCACGTGCCTGTCAAAACACACAAACCAAAAAGAATGCAATTAAGAACCAAAGTATTAAACAAAAATAAAAATGACTAAAGTAATATCTACCGGTCTTCTTCTAATATTAATTAATGTTAACAAAACAGTCCCCGACAACGGCGCCAAAAACTTGTTCGCAAAATATTTTTATTACCCGCAAGTGTACGGTGTAGCTGTAGAAAGCGGCGAGCAAGGTCGTATTCCACAGAGACTGTTGTTCAACTAATTAAGTACCAAAATATAGACGATTAAATATTATTTAGACTACATCGAATTTGAATGGTGATTCTGATCTAAACTAATGAATGAATGCAAAATAAGTTCTTAAGACTAAAGAAGGCTTATTCTAAATAAATCAAGTATGAGAAAATAGATTCTAGGCTATGCTTTCCTCGGGTTTATTCTAGCGAAGTTTTCTTATTCATTCAAACCTTATTTAATTCTACCAATCGTAGGGATAATCGCTAAACTAATTTACACCTTTCTCTCGAACAAGTTAAATCGTAGATATTAATTGCTATCTATCTCCTCTCGGTCTCAAGATGAACAACTAACTCCCATAAGCTCCTAAGATTCTAGTTCCCTCACAAGATCCTATCAACCTCTCGGTCTGTTTAGTCTCTTACGTTATGAATTTCCCAATTCTAGCAATCAACTATCTCCTATCGGTCTCAAGTCAATTACAAATATGCATAAATACGGGCACTATATTCACACAATTCATATAATCACGAGAAACTGATAAACGAAAGATAGACCGGAATGAATAAACAAAATCACTTCATAAAATAATCCCAGTACTCGCAAATCCTAAAATCTCAAAGAGATTTAGCTACTAAACATATTCTCAATACTCAAAATAAATAATTCCATGAGTTCAATGAAGAAGAAAAATAGAAAAGAAAGAAGAACTATTGTTGCCGTTAGTTCCCGGATCTTCAATCTTGACTTCCTCGAATCCCTCGTGTGTTTCGTGCTTTCTCTAGGCCTCCAATGGTGTCAAAAGTCCCAAAACCGTGTTCTTTATGTTTCTTATATACTGTAGGGAAAATATGGGTTGAAAAAGGGACAAAATCACGTGGGTTTCCTATTTCTCGCTGGACTGTCTGCGCGTCACACGACTCGTGTCACACACGAGACGTCACATGAGTCGTGTGAGCCCACACGACTCGTGTCATGGGTCACACGACTCGTGTGGTAAAGCCGCACCAAAATAACACAAGAGGTCGATTTTTATCACCCCACACGACTCGTGTCACTCTCCACATGAGTCGTGTGGCCTGTCTGTACCCGTTTTTCATCGTTTTTCGTCCCGATTCCATCTTTAACGCTTTTTCGGGCATATTTCCTGCAAAACCAACGAAAAATATACCTCCATCATAGATTAATAAATAAAACAAAATGGTGCACAATCCCACGATAAACACGGTTAAACATCACACTATATCACTCATAATGCATGAAAATATGATGAATGTCAGTCCATCACAGGATTACGCACATTTTCCGTGAGGGGAACAAACCTGCCGACTACCTTGCCAGCCTTGGCGCCACCACTCCTGACTTTGAAACTTTCCAGACCGACACTGCTCCACTCTGCCTTCGCACGCTTGTACGGATGGATCAGCTTAGGTATCCATCTTTTCTCTTCCAGTAGATTTGGGTTTTTTTTTTGTTTTTTGATCATACATTTATTCTGGGCATTTGTTAGCCTAATGACAGACCTTGAATTATTTCCTTTTTCTGTTTTTCTTTCTCTTTTGACTGTGAGACTGTGTTTTCTGTAGCTGTTTGATATTTTGGGCCCGTTTTGGTTTCTTGATCTATGCACAGGTTGGGGATCCAGCCCAAATCCCCCGTCCTTCGGGGCGTTGTTTGTTTTTAAAAAAAAGAAAACTAGCAACAACATGTAACTATCATTGCAACATGATAAAACTAACCTTGCAGAGATATACAACTAACGTTGCAACATGATAAAATTAACCTAGCAATAAAAGACGACTATCCTAGCAGCTACAGATAACTAACCTAGCAGTATAAGACAATTAACCTAGCAAAAAAAAAGAGAATTAACCTAGCAGAGATATGTAACTAACCCAGCAATGAAAGACAACTATCCTAGCAGTTACAAATTACTTACCTAGCACTAACAAACAACTAACCTTGCACCAACAGACAACTAACATAGTACTAACAGACAACTAACATAGCACCAATAGACAGCTAACCTAGCAACAACATACAACTAACATTGCAACATGATAAAACTAACCTTGCAGAGATATATAACTAACCTATAAGCAACAGCAGAAGACAAAAAAATGCTCCCACTTCTCTCTATCTTTCTCTCTCTAAACCCTAACTTATCCATCCCCACCCACCACCCTCTCCCTACGGCCGCCCTCCCCACCTAGCCGCCCCGCTCCCAGCCACTACCGCCGGCGGAATCCCTCTGGCCGCCGGACCTTTCATTTTTCTTTCTCCTTTTTTATTTTTCGGTTTGCACCTCCTCCCAGCTCACCCATGGATCCGCCATTCAACCCTTCACCTCTGCCATTCAACCCTTCTTCTCCGACCTCCATGACGGAGTTTCATAACCTTTTTGCCCAACCCGATTTTCAGAGAATGTTCACTGAGTTTTTGAACAGCAAATCAAAGCCTACAGATTTAGAAGATGGAGAATTCTCCAAACTTTCGGCCAATAATCAAGCCACCTGCGACATTGGTCTTTTAGCTGGTTCTCTTCCCTGCAGCGATCCTAGCAAACGGACATGTCAAAGCTCCTGTTTGACAGCCACCTCTGAGAAAGTGCCGGTGATTCTCGGTCCTCCCTGCGGGTCATTACCATCTCAGACTCCAGGCGGCGGAGAAAACTCTCAGCTCCACTATCACCTTGGGCCTACACCTAATTGGGCCAAACCTGATGGCTCTCAACAAATTGGGCCAAGCTCTGATGACACTCAACAGCAACTTGGGCCAACCCTCAACTTGGGACCAAATCTCCCTAGCCAGAGTCCCACCAATTCAATTTCCCCTGCCCATAATCCACAAACCAATATCCAGAACTTAATCCAACACTCCAACCAATATCCTAGCCCAGCCCAACTTCAACTCCAACCCAGCCATCAGACTACTAATCTCGCCACCCCTGCAGCCGATAATAGCGCCAGCCACTTTCCCGACGTCAGCACCGACAACGTCGCGGCAGCCGGAAATGACTCATTTGCCGCTGGATTTTCTGTCTCGGAAGTTATGTATGTTCGGGAGGCTGGAGTGATTGTTACGGCTCCAAATACGGCACACTCGGACCACCCTATCGGACCCTCCCTGAAAGTGACGCTACCATCGGGCAATCCCATGGCCAACCCGGCTACAGCCAGGCCCCCTCTGGGGACTTCCACTGAGCCGCTCTCCTTCCGGGAGGCAATTACGGGGAGAAGAGATGGAGGCACAGGCGCTCCGATACCGGTTACCAAGGACTTCATCCTTGATGGGGACTATAACCATGCTTGCGGGACCATCATCCGCTTGGAGGGAAACAAAGTGAAGGCTCGATTCTCACAGGCCGAAGCTGACAACCTTGCCGGTAAGTTAGCTAACACCCTTGTGTTTAAGTTCTCTTATGACATCCCTCCCCCCCGAGTTATATCTGCTGGATTAGGTAACTTGGGGTTTAAGGGTAGATTTTCTTTTAAGTGGTATAATTTCAACCATCTCCTAGTCACCTTCCACCTCCCTGAGGATTATAATGAGACTTTGCTTAAGACCTCCATTTCTGTGTGCCGATGCCCAGCTAGGGTCTTCAAGTACACTTCCGGGTTCAACCCGAAGACGGAGACACCTGTCGTCCCCGTATGGTGCCGCCTCCCAGGACTTCTACCACACCTTTATCACCGGGATTCCATCACCACACTTGCAAAGTGTGTCGAAAAACCGGATCGCATTGATGGCCCGACAGCCCTCCAGTCGAGGGCTAATGTGGCACGATTTTGTGTTGAGATCGATCTCAGGGTTGAGCCCGTCCATGAGATTGAGATTGAGCAAGGTTCGGAGACTTTTGCTCAGCGGGTGATCTACGAAAAGATCCCCGCGTTCTGTACCTCATGCAGTCATGTGGGGCATATAGTGGCTGATTGCTATATTAGTGGCAATAAGCCACGACCCACTCTGTCTCTGCGCCACCGTGCGACTCAGCCAGGACCCTCCAATGGCCGGAGGAACCGAAGGGAAAGGGCAAAGGCCCTCTCCATGCGCCCAGATCCCCAAAGGGGGTCAAGGATAAGGGCAAGGCTGTGATGGTCTCCACTGCCCAAACTGGAAAGGATGTTCATCCTAACTAGCCTAAGCTGTTGGTTTTTGTTGGGCCCAAGGCCAAGACCTCGGGCTTCATTCCCAGACACACCCTTCAGTCGGCCTTTAAGGCCAATCACTCGTTCTTTGCTGTCCTCTCCCCTGAGGCAGAGGATGAGCCTGAGACCTCTACCAGTGATCCCCACTGGTCCTCAGATTTCCCTTTTTTAGACGATGATGACCTCCTTGTTGAAGATCTAGAGCAGCCGGACGCCTCGTCCAGTGGTACGTCCATTCACTTAGCTGATGACAGCAATCGAGGTACTGTTCATTTGTCTGTCCATCCACCTAGCCAGGACAGCCCCCTGGAGATGGGGACAGCTCCCTCCACCGCTCTCCTAAAAGGGGAAAAGCCGACACATCTTCCCTCTACTGAGCTTGGGAGCTCGGATGAGTATATAGCTATTCTCTAGCCTCACTCTCTCGGTGAGCACCCGAGTGCTCCGCCTAATGGAGCCTCTCTCCCTCCCATCCCAGAGCAGACATGCGGTCTTAACCGTGCTTAGCACGACGTCTCGTGCGAGAGTTTTATCTCTAGCGCATTCGTCCACTTTGACAGACAGGAGATGGCCCCGGAGATGGGGCAGGTCCCTAGTGCTACTTTGGGTCTGATTGCTCAGCCTGATGACTCGCAGGCTACGAGCACTTACCGAGGGCATCCCCCCTTGAAGACCAGACCCACATCGCGCGTGACACAACGGACAGTCTCCCCTGCCCTTCGATCCTTTGGCCACCTCCCCTCTCCTTCAGGTGGCTCGACCCAGCATCGCCACAGTCGGACCTCGTCTGGTGGCTCTCACGCCTGTTAATATGTCTATTACATCTATCACCTGGAATGGTCGGGGCCTGCCTAATAGGGCCACTCTCGCTCATCTCCACTCTCTCATACGTGATCATAGATTAGACTTTGTTGGCTTTTTAGAGCCGATGATTCGCACCCCTGATTTTGACTATTACTCACGTTGCCTTGGCTTCCACTCGGGCGTGGGTAACACTTCGCATAAGATCTGGTTCTTCCACTCGCGTGATTACACCTGTCGGGTCCTCCGGGATACCGACCAGGTGCTTCATGTCGAGCTTTCTGTGACCCACCTCCCTGAGCCCATATTCTATACCTTGGTTTATGTCAAGTGTAATAGGGTCGGGAGATATGATCTCTGGGACACCCTGCGTGAGATTGCTGAGAGCATGGAGGGATTGCCATGGATTTTTAGTGGCGATTTCAACATCTTTCTGCATCCCGATGAGCGTGTGGGTGGCCTTTTGGATCGTTTTAGAGAGATGTGGGACTTTGCTCAGGCTGTGGCGGACTGTGAGTTGATTGGTGCTGGATGTGAGGCTGAGCCCTTTACGTGGGTTAGGGACGATCTCAAAGAGAGGCTCGACCGTGCTTTAGTTTTTGAGTCGTGGTCGAAGGTGTTTGCGGTCACGACCGTCTCACACCTCACTCGATTTGGGTCTGATCACTCACCCCTCCTCATTAGGTGTCGATTTTCGAGCACCCCTCGCCGTTCATCCTTTAGGTTCCAGAACATGTGGGTTCGCCACCACTCCTTCCATGACACTGTCAGGAACTCCTGGCTTCAGCCGACTGGGCTCTTCGGGATGCGCAATCTCAAGGCGAAGCTCGACAGGCTGCGGCGTAGGTTGAGACAGTGGAACTGGGATGTTTTTTGAAACCTCCATCAGCGCCTTTCTGAGGCTCAGAGTGCGCATGCGGGGGCTGAGCGGGCCTATGATTTGGACCCCACTCCGGAGAATAGGACTGCGATGCGCTGCTGCCATGCCGAGTACCAGCTCCGACTCCTTTTGGAGGAGGATTTCTGGAAGCAGAAGGCAGCCGTTCGCTGGGTGGTCGAGGGCGAGCGGAATACTAGGTTCTTCCAGGGTTTCATTAGGCAGAAGCGAGCTAAGTCGTACATCCACAGTATTGAGGCTGATGGGTCATCACTGACCCAAGAGTCTCAGATTCGGGAGTCGGCTACTGCCCACTTCCAGACCCTTTTCACCTCCGACAGAGGGGCCCTCGATGCCCCGATCGCTTCTTTCTTTCCCATCATTCCTCCTTCGGTTGACCTCGTCGGCCTCTGTGAGCTCCCGAGTAGGGAGGAGGTTAGGGATGCTGTCTTTGGGATTGATCCCAACAGCGTTTCTGGCCCCGATGGGTTCTCTTCTCTCTTCTATCATGTCAGTTGGGATATTGTCGAGCCTGATGTTGAGGAGGCAATGTTGGATTTCTTCTCCGGTCACCGGATGCCGGATTCCTTCACGTCTACCTCTGTCGTCTTGAGTCCCAAAAGACCCAATCTGAGTTCTTGGTCCGACTACAGGCCCATCAGCCTGTGTAACGTGACCAATAAGCTCATTTCGAAGATCCTTAACGGCCGCCTTTCCCTCTTCTTCCCTCCCTCATCTATCCGAACCAGAGTGGTTTCGTCAAGGGTCGGGTCATTAGTGATAACATACTTTTGGCCCGGGAGATGATCCACGATATCTCCCATGCGGATTGGAAGCGGGCACCGAACGTTGCGCTCAAGCTAGAGATGGCTAAGGCGTACGATAGGGTGGAGTGGCCATTTCTTAGGGAGGCACTGGCTAGGATGGTATTTCCTGAGCGGTGGATCAGTTTTGTTGAGGCGTGTGTGGACCACTGCACGTTCTCGGTCCTGGTTAATGGTAGCCCCACCGACTTCTTTCCCTCCTCTAAGGGCCTTAGAAAGGGTGACCCCCTTTCCCCATCCCTTTTTGTCATTGCGGCGGACTATTTCTCTCGTTGCCTTGACGGCTTCATCCGCGACTATCCACGGATGACATACAACACCCGTGGCTATGGTCCTCCCATCTCGCACCTTTCTTATGGGGATGACATCATCATCTTCACCCGGGGCGGATGTTGATGGGTTGATCGAGCTTATGCACCTTCTGGAGCACTATAGCTCGGTTACCGGCCAGCTGATCAGTGTGCAGAAGAGCACCTTCACCCTCTCCTCCACCAGCGCGGACAGTTGGGCTCAGCGGATCCATGAGATCACTGGCTTTGTGCGCGGCGACCTTCCCATTACTTACCTCGGTGCCACTTTATATAAGGGTCGCCTCTCGAGAGCGCTTTTTGTGGACATTAGACAGAGGATGATCGATAGGATCTCTGGTTGGTCGCATAGACACCTTTCTTTTGGTGGTCGGCTTGCGCTGATCAAGAGCACCCTTAGCTCTCTTCCGCTTCACTTACTTATGGTTCTCGACACCCCTAGGTCTACTCTTGACGAGATTGACCAGATTATGGCTCGTTATTTCTGGGGTTACGAGGATGGTTCCGGGAGGGGAAGACGTACCCACTGGGTGAGTTGGGACTCTATTTGTCGCCCTTTCTCTGAGGGAGGCCTTGGCATCTGCCGTCTTAGGGATATAGTTACTGCCTTCTCCTACAAGTTGTGGTGGCGCTTCAGGGAAGGAAAGTCGCTTTGGGCCCAGTACCTTCGCGGCAAGTACTGCTCTAGACGTGCCAACCACCCTTGTTGGGTGACGGCAGTTAGTCATGATAGCAGACAGTGGCGGCGCCTCACTAGGGTCGGTAGGCGCTCCTAGGAGCACATCTTCTGGGTTTTGGGTGAGGGTGAGGTTAGTTTTTGGGATGCGTGGTGGTTAGGTGATAGGCCGTTGTCTAGCGATAGGCAGGTGTCGCATTCCCCCTACCTGCTTGTAAGCGACCTGTGGACGAACGCGTCGTGGGATAGGGGGAAGCTTGATAGAGAGCTGGGCTTCGGGGCGGGTTTTAGCGAGCAATTATTAGATCAGATCCAGCAGATCCCCATCTCGGGGGACGGTTCGGATGGCATGAGGTGGAGACTTACATCATCGGGTGTGTTTTCTACTACCTCGGCTTGGGAGCAGATCAGGCTGAGAGATCGGACTAATCTTCTCTTCGGAGCCATCTGTAGCGATCTCTTCACCCCTACTATTTCGGTTTTCCTTTGGCGCCTCCTCTTGCGCCGAATACCCGTGGACACTGTTTTACATGCGAGGGGGATCTCTTTCCCCTCCCGGTGTGTGTGTTGTTCTAAGACTGGACGTCATGAGACCGAGACCTTTACCCACCTTTTCCTAGAGAGTGAGATTGTGAGGAGAGTGTGGGAGCACTTTGCCACTTGGACTCATATATCCCTACCCACCACAGACAGTTTCTTTGAGCTCCTGAGTCTTTTCTCACAGAGCACACACTTTAGACACGTGGGCTTCCTCATTTCTTGTCTGATCCTTTGGTTCACCTGGACGGAAAGGAATAGTGCGAAGCATAGGGATATTACTTTTTTGCCTTCTCACATTGTTTTGCAGGTACAGAGACATCTTTCACTCCTCACATCATTGGGCAGGCTCACTGCCAGAGACTGGACAGGCTGCACGCCACCACACCGCTACATGGTAGCTCCCCCTGTGCTTGTTCGGCCTCCTCGGCCCAGAGCTGTCGTTTGGCTTCGACCCGACTCCCCTTGGGTCAAGCTGAACACTGATGGCTCTTTTGATTGCCAGATCGGAGTTGCCGGAGGAGGAGGTTTGATCCGGGACCACAGCGGCGCCCTTATCACTGCCTTCCACACGTCCCTTTAGGCCTCCTCGAGCTACGATGCAGAGATTCAGGCTCTACAGATTGGCCTTCATCTCGCTGCCCACCTCTCTAGTCATATTTGGATCGAGCTGGACGCTGCGGCGGTCTTCACCATCCTGACCTCGGGCCACCAAGGCTCGTGGAAGATTCAGCACCCGCTTATGCGCATTAGAGCTCTCCTACGGTCTGTCCATCACAGGATTACGCACATCTTCCGTGAGGGGAACAGACCTGCTGACTACCTT